CTTGCTAAAGTTTGTTCGTAGTGGGATCCAAGTGGGGCCATCGTAGATTGGCCCATGCCTCGACAAATCGTTTTCGCCGATAAGATTATCGCTACTAATCGGTCAGTTTTTGGGCCAAACGGAAAAGGAATTTTTTGCGTAACAGACGATGACTTGTTACAAAGACATGTTTAATAACCGAACTCGTGTATCCTTATCGAACAATAAAGATGGTGCAAGTTCCGTTGTATTTGTTTCTTTTCCCGTTTACTTACGAAATTTGTAAATATGCTGACATCGAAGGCTGGATCTGTCGAGGAACGAGTAAAGTAAATCGACCAGGTGTAACTCGGGCCAGTTTCGGCTGAATTTCAGACCGAGGAGCGATTCAATTTGAGTTACATCGTGCCGAATCGAACAGATCCGATGGATTTACCGTTTTATTATAATTTCGCGTTCCTCTTGATAGTGACGCTAGGTACAGACGGCATCGAGGTGTTCGGCAAACAGAAACGCTTTCCTCCAAACATAGCGGGAAAGCTGGACGAGTACTGGAATGCGTACAAGGTACAAGCTGCGAACAGAGACATTCCTACGATTTTAAGTATTATCCTAAAAGTTTCTTTCGTTTTATAAATAAGTAATACATACACAATATTTTATGTTTCATGTTGCATTACTGAATTGTGTACGATTCATTTTGCTAAGAAATTAGATTGTCTATTTCCGTAAACACTGCCACGTAAAATGATTGAGCGCATCTCGAAACTTTTGGGACAACCTAACATAATTCGATCTAACACTTTTTCTCTGTAACCGTCGCGATGGTTTCGTTATAGAGTCGCTACAACAAAACCTACTCTGACAATGAGGAGACTGCCAGGAGGTTGGCCTGGGAGGAGAATCTGGTAACGATTTATAAACACAACATGATGGCAGCAGCCGGTCATCACGACTTCACGCTACGCGACAATCACATGGCGGATCTCGGGACCAGACAATACATGCGGGACATGGTTCGTAGTCGAGAAGACGTATCTCGAATGCTATTCAGCTCGTTTACGCAGAGCGTTTGATACGCGTGCCAAGTTCTTGATTCGTAACGAAATTGGGGTGTAAACGGTGACGTATGAAACTGATATGATACGTCCGAGGAAGGCGTATCGAGTCGAAATATTTCCAACGTTACTCGTATACTTTATAAACGGATGAATTCGAGTTAGAAATAAAAATAATTCTTGATTTGCGATGCTGATAACGTAAGGACTTTCACAAGTACGAGTAACACGGAGAAGAACCGTTCTCGAAGGGTAAATATTCATCTCCTCGAATCGCTTCGATTTGTCGCTACGAATAGAGACAGAGGTTGACCCAAAGTTGAACGAGTTATCGGAGCCCATCCGGCGGACAGCAATCGTCCGAAAAATTGAAAGAAAATCGTTCGCTCTGGACTATCGATCATTTTGTCCGCAGGTAAAATTGATTCCGAGTCGCAAACGACGCGTGTCGCAAGGGCCGATGGTCGGGGCGGTTTTGCACGACCCTCGACACATTCCACGCCAACTGGATTGGCGCGAGAAAGGATTCAAAACTCCTGCGCAAAATCAGAGGGACTGCGGTAGCTGTTACGCCTACTCGATAGCTGGTAGTATCCAAGGCCAGATCTTCAAAGAAACCGGCATGCTGATCCCTCTGAGCGAGCAGCAGCTGATCGACTGCAGTGCGTCCACCGGAAACATGGGATGCTCCGGAGGATCTCTGAGAAACACGCTGAGGTATCTCGAGAAGGCGAAGGGGTTGATGGCGCAAGAACATTATCCCTACAGAGGAAAAGTATGTTTGCTTCGACTTTGTTTTAATCTACAATTTGGTTAACCTGTTCTTAACCCTTTCTGTCTACGTGAGATAATGGAGAAAGCTTGTCTTTCCATTCTCTATCCTGATTTTGAGGGTTCGTTAGAATAAGAACCCTTAACTGGTACTAATAATCCGTTATTAGGCGCCCGTTTGTCGTTTTACAAACCCATCACCTTCGAGTGGGGTCAGATGTGACCCTAAAGCACCGACCTTTGGATAATTTCTTGGAGCTCATTGTCTACGTGAGATTCGTTCGAATCAGAGTACGCGTTTGTTATTGTCGAGACCTTAGGAAAACCACGTACTCGAAAACATATTTACCAACATACCGCATTCTCTTTAAGAGCACGATGTTTTATTTCGATAAACGAGGAAGGGAATAAATATTTTCGATCCTTTATAAATTCCCTTTGGACTTCCTACTGCTCGAATGTGGTTTCGTTATCGCGGTACGCTAATACACCGCGATAAAACATTTCTTTCTATTAAGCAGATTAAATCTGGACAGAGAGGGTTAAGGAACGCGAGGCACGTTCGCGCGATGCAAGCTACTCGCGTCGAGATTTCCGTCCTCCCGTTTCGTAACGCTTATCTCTGCGTGCTGATTCGGGTATACGAACGTATCCAGGGCTGATGTAACGAAACGGTTTTCGTCCAAATTGTGTATGTACATCGCGGATTCGCTGGAGTCAACAAACGTTACGCAAAGTAATCGATGTCGAAAATGAGCGTAGCGACACCGTGCCCCTCCCTCCTTTCGAATTACTTTCGTGTTACGTCATCCGTGGCCACGCTTCGGGCTTCGGTCGTATCGGGAAACACGGGAAAAACGATTAAACCGCGGCGTTTGCTTTGAGAGCAGCAAGGCCGGTGCCATTTCCAGGAACACATGAGCGTCGTCAACATCACATCGTGGGCGGTGTTACCAGCGCGCGACGAGCGAGCTTTGGAGGCAGCTGTGGCGACCATAGGTCCAATAGCGGCCTCGATAAACGCCAGTCCGAAAACTTTTCAGCTCTATCAGTAAGTATATCTCGTAACCCCACCCCCCCCCCTCCTCCCTTCCTCTACATTCGAAACAAATTAGTTTAAACGTCTGGCTCTTTCCCGGATACATAGCTGCCGGTTTGTTGACACGCCTTTTGCTCTCCGCTTTGATTCCTCGTCATCGCGGATGCTGCTTCGCTTCTTCCTCTTTTATTCGTCGCGTTCCTTATTTTTCGTGGTCCCGCTCCTGCCTCCCCTTTGCCGCGTTTCATTTCGATTCAAAACAAGAATATTTATAACGAAACGCAAAAGTAGGAAAAACCTCTCGAACCATATTTCACGATTTATCGTGCATACATATCGAATCCTCTGTATTTGTTATCCTATCTCCGTACTCGTACGGAGTGCACCGCGTGCACTTTGTGTTTTAGATAAACGGTTTTAGGGAATCCAGAGCATGTGGCGGACTCGCTTTCTATCTCCATCTCCCTGCCAGGCTGACCTTTGTGTTGCATTTCTCGGTGGAAGTGGGAATCGGTTTTCTTTGTATACGAGTCGACGCAACACGAGCACTTTTACGCGACTCGGGTCCGTAACTCGTCGTTAGGAAACCAACGACTTGGTCGCCGTCGTTGGTTCCGTCTGTTCCGAAACGAACTAACGAGGAATCAGGAAGGAATTTTCGACACGCAATCGGCTCGTGTTCGACAAATGTTTACGCGAAAAATGAGAATACGAAAACTTGTATCGTTCCCCTCTGACGGATACACGAATAGATTGGTCCAGTTGCGCGATAACCTTTGGTGCATCGTTCACGCGATGACCCTGAAGCAACAATGGACCAAAGTCATTGGATTCGCGATTCGCGATCGAAAAGGGCGCGGAAGTAAACGTCCGTGGCCTGGTAATAGACGTCCAAAAATTTTTTTTTTTTTTTACTCGAATAAACGCAACGACAAATGCCTCTGTCACTGTTTCCGTGCTACCCTGTGCCATCCATGTACAGCGCGGTTGCGCGCGAGTCTATGCGGTATTTTTTTTTTTTTTTTTTTTTTTTTATATATATATATTTAATAGCCTGTCTAGGAAAAGGAAGGTTTATTTTATTTTACCGTTTTGAATAATTCAAAGGAGAGCCACGAAAATACGTTTGAAAATGTTTACTTTGAAAGGCACGTTCCTCCTTTTATTTGATTCTTTATTGTTTCAGGCACAACGCTTGGTTTTCACTTGTTTATCTGGCATCTGTATATTGTTCGAGTTAACTCGGGCGCAGTAGTCGTTAACCGGTCACGCTGTTTGCTTGCCTCTAATTTTCGTTTTGTCTTCCTTTACTTACTTTTATCTCGTTATCGTTACTTTTGTTTTTGTCAATTATCGTTAGTTATTTACATAGACTGTTTCGTCAGTCCTGTGGTATCTTTCACTTTGCGGGAGGCTTTAATGCTTTGTATTCGACATTTTTTTTTTAATCCTTGATCTACGCTCGATCCGCAGCACGGGAGTTTACAACGACGAGGTCTGCAGCTCCGACATGGTGAATCATGCTATGCTGATCGTCGGATACACGCCGACCGAGTGGATCTTGAAGAATTGGTGGGGCGAGGAATGGGGTGAGAACGGGTACATGCGCCTCGCTAAGAACAAGAACCGATGCGGCATAGCTAATTACGCAGCGTACGCAAAAGTTTAATCGTATATCGCTCGACGGAGTAGACATTCGATATTATTGTTTTGCTGGTCCTGCTGTGGCGCTATCGTTACCAATAAACATCGTTGAACTCGACGATTTCTGATCGCGAGCGTTAATAATATTCCGTAGTTTTATCTGTACCGTAGATAGATTAATTATTTTCTTTTGTTACGTTTTATTATTCGTTTAACTCTATTTTTTCCCTGTTTTCGCTCGCGTTTTATCTTTACCTCTACGTTTTATTTCCAGACGTTGTATTTCGTAATTTATATGATTCAACTATCTGCCTCCGGTAGTGAAATAAAATCTCCGAACTCACGTTGTTCCACGCATGATGTACCGTTGCTTACAGCTTCCACTACTCACACATCACCGACACGTTCTCGTATCAATTGCCTAATCAAAACTGTAATCATAGAACCGCTTGAGAGGAAGGTCGTGGGATCAGTTTTAGGCGAGCAGTTAAGATCACGAACAAATAAGAAATCGTGGCATTGGATAGCGCCATGTTTGATACACCGCAGGTCGAGGACGCTCGATGAACGATTCCCTCGAGATTTTGGAAACGGAATGTCCAACGGAATGTCCAACGGAATGTCCGTTCAATTTCAAGATCCCTGACCGCGAGAGGTGATCAATTTGTCGCTAAATGACTATCGCGTCGATAGATTTAGTTTCAGATAGGTTTCGAGCCGGTTTCTATTACAAGTGTACGAATGGAACATTGCTTGTTAGGGGCCGCGCGTGGAAGAGGAAACTGTTGTGCCTGGTAGCGGTCAAACACGCTCGCATCGTTCTCCAAGCAATGCTTCGGCCTTGAATCCAACGACCAAGTTAGACGTCTCTCGAGCGATAAATTCTATCGTGGAACCGCACTCGAAATAAACTTTCAGAGAGGTAAACATTTATCGAGAGGCATACACGCGACCGCGAGCTCGAACGGTGATCGGTGCGAACAACAATAAACGTCGAAAGAGACTCCAGAGTATCGATGCGTGTCGCGTGCAGCGGAGCTGGACAACGATGTGACAACTTTGGGATTACTATCGTAAACATTCCTAATTGTCAGTGTAATCAGTGGCAATTTGTAATCCGCAATTATGTACCAGACCAATTTGTAATCTTCAAGATTTGCTCGACGATTTCGTAATCCTTAACCCCTTCGCACTTGGTCGCACATTGTAGCGTACATCAACTTTAACATTGTTTTCCATTTGCGAAATAATTAGTTTCTTGAAATAGCGAACCTCGCGTGCCTCGATGCCTATCTAAACATGTACAAGGACAGAATTTGTTTTTTCTACAACCCTGGAAAATTTAAATGCTGTTCACCGATACCGTAAGAAACCGTAAATCGTGTTTATTTAATTGTACTCGTTCAAATACTTGTGATGTATTTATGTATAATTGTAATTGTACGCGCGCGTCACGGTCATCTACAGTCAGTGTAACAAGTATTCGTACAGGAACCACTTATTTGAAATTGGTTGCTGTACGAATAGTTCTCGCACTGACTGTATATTTCCGTTCGAGAGAAAAAGCGCAGACTGCAAGAGGTTAATCTTGATTCCCGACTGGTCACGCTGATTACTCCGAAATAATTAATCATAATTACCGATAGAACGAAAGTCGCGATCGTGGATTATGGCGCGCATCTGCCAGAGTTTCCAGCGAGAGAGGGAGCGACGATGGAAATGCGAAACGAACGCTAATACATCGAAAGATTTGGAATTTTCCTGCGCAACCGGGTGGTTGAGAACGTAGGTGAAAAAGACGGCGAGGAGAGGCATGTTCGCGGCGCGTGTTTCCACCGACCGCGACGATATCAGCGCGATTCGTCTCTGTCCAATCCGCGGCATCCCCCCGCTCATGGAGCAAAGTTCGGACTGTACCAAGAAACGGCGAGCAAGTAAACTATCCCGAACGAAGAATCTTCAGTCTTCGCGGATGAGTTGCTTAGAACGTATGCGGAAAACGGTCGATCGAAAGGACGGTGATCCGGTATCGAACGCGTCGAAATTGTAAACACTGTCTGCTGGACGAGGGAAAGAGAACATTTCGAATACCAAACAAAGGATAGACAACCTACGTACTCGTTGTCTGCTCGATGAAAGTTACCAATGAAAATTATACGATCGAAATAACGCTTTAAAGAGTTTAAAGTTGTTCTCTATGGTTTCGATTAAACCCTGACTATTTTTGAGAGTAGCAAACGTTCCCTCGAGGATCGACAGGACACGTGTCAAAATGTGGATGAACAAGACGAGCTCATCGATCGTGGAAAGTAATTCGTGATAGAGAAAGGTCAGCGACGAAGCGACAAAAGTAATCGATGCATCGCTCGATGGGTGTTCCGCGTTCTTTTGGTTTCCTCGGCGGCGACCGCAAGTAAGCGTCAGTGAGACCAGAGGGAAAATCCAACAGGGCGCCGGACAGCGCAGGACCCGTTGGATGAACGAAGCCGATCGGAACGATGCGTCTCGTAGATCAGCTGCTGTTTATGACCCTTCTCTCGATGGGTAACGGGATCGAGGCTGGGTGGCCCAAGGTCGGGAACCCGTTGTCTTCCGCTTGGTGGAGTTTTTACTCGCGATCCACGGACTCCACGTCCACGTCCTCCATTTCGTCGCTCGAGGCGGAGGACTGCACCGAGTGCGCCCACAACAAAGTCGGTTTCGCCGCCAACGATCCGATTTTGAACGAGCTGAGGGTCGAGTACGTCAAGCAACAGATTCTCAAGAAACTGCGACTGTCCAGGCCTCCGGCGATATCGATGCCACTCTCGACCTTGCCGAAGCCACTGATAAACGGTCGTGTGCTGGAACTCCGACCCGGGGCACCCCTCGAACCGGAAAAATCGGCCGACAGCTTTTACGGAAAGACCGATCAGATCGTCGTTTTTCCAAACGAAGGTTAGTCTCTAAATCGTTGAAAAGTAACGAAATCGTTCGCCGTTCTCTTGGCGCATGCATACCTTTAGAAAACGTTAGTTGACACTTTTGCTGGGTGCTGCAATTATGATACTTTTTTTTTAATGAAAAATATCTTACGTTCTAATATGATTACTTTGAAAAACATATGTTTGTGGTAACTTATTTTATATATAATATGATTGCCGAACAAAAAAAAAAAAATGAAAACTGAAAAATAATAAAAATAACCATATATTTTCAGTTGGACGCACATGTGCGTCATCCGCAGCGAAAGCGTTAAAAAACAGTAGAATCGTTGAGGGAGCTCTAACAAGAGGAAGGCACGAATGTTGCAGTGGTCGTTGAAATTGCATCATCTTAAAAATATGCTCGATTTAATTCTCACGCGAGCGGTATCGCTCGATTAAACAATTTTTATAAATACTATCGAATAGGGACCAGGAAAAATCGTTCTTTGCCATTATTCTCGCTACATACCACGTGCCGCTCTTCCAATCTAACTGTAAACAACTAAATGCGAACTAAAAAAATCGACTAAAGAAAAGCCTTAAAATCGATTCTTCCAATACTGATCCAAGTGTACGTAACCAAGTGTAACCCTTGTATAGCAGGATGAGCATTCCCGATTCCGCGGTGAAAAGAGCGCTATCGAGCAGAGGAAAACCTATTCGTACGGTTTATTCACGCCGCTCGGGACTGACTTAAAGTAGATCGCTATATTTGTGTCAGCGACTATGCGCAATTCCGAGTTTTCACGTTCGACGCCTTTCGGCGTATGTGTTCCGCACTGGGTGCAAATTCAGCCGGGCGAAAAATGATTCGCGAGCACTCCTCTGCTCCCTTTTTTTTTTTCCACCCCACTCGTCTCTCTCCTGCGATACGGTGTTGTTCTTTTCCGGGCGACGAACGGCGTCATAAAATGAACGAGTAGGAGTGTCACGTAATTGCAGGTACACGTCGTTTCCTTCGAAACAAACGAGAACAGAGCCGGTCCAGGACGGTTCTGACATAGTACACGTCGTCGAGCGTAGCTCCTCGTTTCGCCAGGTCTACATCCGCCTACAAAATTACAGGACACCCCCCAAGAGTTGTGGCGGTTCCGAAAACTGTCGCGGTGTAACGCGAACGACGATCAACAGCTCGGATCAACTGCTCGGATTCTTTTCTACGAATTTACTCGATCGTCGGCTAAAGCTGACGATCGCACGAAAAGCGTGCGACGAATTCAAAGTAAACGCGGAGCCCTATCATTTTGTCACGGGGTGTACTCGCCACCTCGTAGCTCGCTTTTTGGTCTTTGTCGCTCCACGTTATTTCGGCCAACCGAATATACCGAATCTTTGCCGCACAGCGTAAATTTATTATATTTTATTACGTAATTTACTGTACGCGTTCTAATAGAATTTTAATAACGGTCAGTTTGCTCGAGATAGAAATTAAAGCAAGTCCTATCGTATCTTCTTCGAATAGAACACGTTTGCGCAACACGGAAATAAACACTTTCGACCATTAACTAGGTCATTGTCGGATACGTAAAAGTTCACGATAAGACTACTACATGCCTAGATAAAAAAAAAAGAGATTCGAGGTATATGAATGAAACAGTCGGTCGATTCAACATTAAAGATGCGAAAAGAACGATTACGTACACCACCCTCGAATGGTGCAATCTTTAGACAATTATGTCGCCAGGTTGTAAAGTCGCGAGGAATACCGTGGACGCGGTTTTGTTGCATTAAAATGTGGAGCGGTCTGGAATAGGAAATCGAAAGAGCGGAAGATCGATAAGAGCCACGAGACACGCGCGTAATGTTTTCTTCCGAGAGCGGACAAATTAAAAACAACTTCAATTGAGAAGATTCTTGTTATCGGGCGACACGTTCGCCAGAGCGAAATTCGTTTTCAGATTGTAAAACGTACGCGGTGAAACGTTCCAGGTGTTGCCGATTCGAAGAAGTGTCAACAGAGCACGAACCATTTGACGGGGTTCAATCCCGCCGCCTGTTTCACGTTTTACCTGCCAAATGAAATGCAATTCGTCGACGTGACCTCGGCGCAGCTTTGGTTTTACAAGGAATACGACGAGAACGACGACCTGAATCAAACCTTCGTGCTATCCGAACTCGATCACTGGGACCTGGGGGGCAACTTCGAGAAGAACACCGTGGTGGCAATCTTCGAAACCGATATCGGAGGTAGGTGCGAATCGAAAACATTTCGATCTCTGGGAATTCGTGGACGATATCGCGTGGGAAACTCATCTCTCTGCTGTCTACCTTCCCTTATCGTCCTACGTTATCCACGCGACACATCGATTGTTCTCCCTGTTTTGCAAATTCGATACGATCTAACGCTACAGACGGGCAAAATTTGATTCGAGTACCGCTGGATGCGATGGCAATTTGTAGACTTTCTTTGATCGTTGCTTTCCGCAATTGTTTCGGAATTTGTCTACATTTTCTTTGTATACGAATTCGTGCCGCGTTTCCATAGGAGGCTACTAAACGTTTGTTTCTTCCGAGTTAACCATTCCTTATACAATTTTCAGTTTTATATTTTCGGTGAAAAAATTTCCTAAATTCCGACCCTCCTTTTTTTTTTTTTTTTTTTAAGTGTCAGGGTAGTTACACGCCTCGAGAACCACGTGACCGACATTAACTTTCTTCTCTTCCGTTTTCTCAGCTTCACCTTCGTCTCGACGTTCCTTCCACGCTCCTTCAGCGTTCCTCTACAGCGAAAGTTCGTTCGTATTTAGATCGAATTTCTAGTTTCCCGTTGGGCAAATATTGACGTTCGATGTCTTTAAATTTAAATGTCGACGTCGAGCGCAAAGAAAATTGACCCGTTAAACGAATTTCATCGTAATCGATGAACACTGACGTCTAATTTTAACTTAAAACGGGAGCCTGGCTTGTTTGGATAAAAGATCGACTTTTTTTTAAAACCTTAAGATTTTCAAATAACACCCTTGAAAACTCGCGTCGAAGGCGTAACCTTTTCAAACCATCTTCCTATCTTTCTCCGTAACTCTACGAAGGATAATTCGTTTCCAAAACAAACGTTCCCAGAGAATGACTCGTGTTATCGCTAAAAAAAATCCACGTCTTAAGGACGCGGACAAGAATCTACAAAGAATTCTACAAAGTCGACTGCGTTGATAATAGCGATTCCGAGTATACGTTGTCTCTCGTCGAGGACTTTACACCGCGGGAATGTGTACGTCGGAAAAAATACACCGTCTACGCGTTACAGATGTATCGCACCGCTGAAAGACCTCGTCGTAAACCGGCCGCCATCGCGTCGAGACGACGATCGACGATCGCGAATTATAAAATTTCCTTCCTTCTCACGCCGAAATCCTTAACTTCGTCTTGTTCTACGCGACGTTTCGTCTTCGTTAATCAAAGAGCTGGTTGTTTCAGAGGGTTGGGTGAAAGCGGACGTAAGCTTCATGCTGAAAAAGTGGGTGGAAGAGCTTCGACTGAGCCGCGCGATACAGATCGCTTGCAGCACCTGCACGATGAACCGCGAGGCCGCGCCAGTTTCCGTCGAGCAGACACTGAAACCTTTCCTCGTGATACACACGTCGCCCTTGCCGCAGAGAAACAGGCCGAAGAGGAACACGAACTGCTTGCCAGAAATGAAAGAGTGCTGCAGGGACGAGCTCTACATCAACTTCGAGGACATCGGTTGGAGCGACTGGATCCTCCATCCGAGCGGATATCACGCGTACTTTTGCCGCGGATCATGCTCCTCCGCGGCCTCGATCACCGTCAACAGCTCACCCTACAGTAACGTAATCAGAGTGAGCATCCTTGTAGTCTAAGAGCTGGCTACGAAAATCAGAAACGATAACGTGCAGCGAAAATTTGTCTCCATGAAGTCGCTTAATTTTTAATCAAAATAAAATCTTTGAGTGCAGCCCTGAAATATTGTGCAGTTTTTTACAGTTTTTTAACTGTAGAAATCACGTAAAGCTATCGCCAGAAGTCTAGGTCGTTGCAAAAAGTCGATAAAGTTGTAATAAAATTGTTTAAATTTTAATGACAAGGTGCTTGTAATGACAACGTCTGGCGAATTCGTTTTCATATTATTTATATTTTATTTAACATGTTTGACGAAATGTTTTTAGATACAAATTTTCGTTGCACCTTATCATTCCTGATTTTCGTAGCCAGCTCTCCGTCTATTACCCCGATTCTTCTTTTTCGCGTGTGCACGGTATCCGTGGCAACAACGTGCAACTATGAAATATCGAAAGGGGAACTAAATACGCGTAGCGTGAAATAAATGACATCTTGTTTTAATACCGTTTCCTCTGTTTTGTTTGTCTAGAGGTTATTCGCCAAGTCTAGTAACACGGTGCCCCGTCGAAACGAGATCGTTCCATGCTGCTCGCCCACGCAGCTATCTCCCATTCAGCTGCTCTACGTCGACACGAACAACACGATCACGCAAAAAACTCTGCCCAACATGGTGGTCGAAGCCTGCGGTTGTATGTGATTCGCGCAACGAACCCGAGCCGAATTTCGTGCCTGTATCGTACCTGGCTACGAACGTGCTCGTCGCGATTGAGAAAAACCGTCGACGCTCTGTTCCACGATGTTCGAACGGTTCGACGCTTTTCGGCGCGTCCATAGACTTACATTTCCCTGTGAATCGAAATAACGTTCGAATCGCCATGCAAAACGAAATTTGGAAGTTGCGCAGCAACGATCAGCGAAAGGATTGCGTGACACCGTTTGCACGCGTGGCCGTGCGAGCGTGCGAAACAGTATTTCTTTTTTCTAGCTGTACTTGCCGCATGTATGTATAGTACGGACGAAGCCCTTGAGCTGGCTTTCGGATATTTAATCGATCGTTACGAGAATTTATTTATTGTTAAGCCGCATTCGTTGCGAACGAATTGTCGAATCGACGAACAGATCAGGATTGAGAGGACGTTCCGTCTATTAGGTTGGATCTGTAACGGAGGAGATCGGTGGAACCGATTTTTCACGAGACGTCATCCTTTCAGCCAGCGATTTCGGGCGGCGGGGATGATCCGCGCGTCTCTTAGACAGGGATTGCTATACAGGGTGTCCCAAAAGTCGGGGAGGAGCCGGAATAGGGGGGTAGCTGAGACGTTTCTGAACAACAATTTCCTTTGCAAAAATGTCGGATTGGGCTTCGTTAAGGAGATATTGAGCGAAAACCCCGACCAATCAGAGCGCGCGTAGACCGTTGGAGCGGCCGCGGTAGCGAAGGCTACGCGCTAGGCGGCCGCGCTTGTACGCGAACAAGTGACTCGACGTGCATCGAAGGACATTGACGCTGCCACCTAGCGCGTAGCCTTCGCTACCGCGGCCGCTCCAACGGTCTACGCGCGCTCTGATTGGTCGGGGTTTTCGCTTAATATCTCCTTAACGAAGCCCCATCCGACATTTTTGCAAAGGAAATTGTTGTTCAGAATCGTCTCAGCTACCCCCCATTTCCGGCTCCTCCCCGACTTTTGGGACACCCTGTATAGCGGAGAGTTCCAAACGGGGCGGAGCTATCTAAAAAGTAAATGGACTGGGTGATCGAAGCCTGGACGATTGAAATGATGGGGACAATGAAACGAGTTCAATTAATCGACGATCCACTCTTTAACGTTCGCTCTACTCCCGTAGAACGATACATCGCGAACAAATGAAAAATATAGCTTGGACGTCTAGATTGTCAAACACACTCGTCCGAAGCCTCGGGGCTGGCGAAACACATCGCCGGGGGCTGGTCTACCGTGAAATTAATGAAGCTTCAGCTTCGCGCACTCCGAGAGCTCCTTACTCGTTCAATTTTTAATTTAATTTAATTTAATTACTTTCGATTCTTCTATATTTGTAACGTATTTCTCCGTTCGATTTTCTAGACAGTTCAAGTGGCTACGTTATTTTATATCAAGAAAAATGGGATAAATATATTTGAATAATAGTAACGTTCATCTTTCGTTGACCTCTCGAGGGATGAATTTTAAATGGATTATTTATAGCATTATTTATCTTGATTATTGTATATTTTTTAATTCTAACAGGTATTGCGATCGCGAATAACGACGCAAAGCCGAACGTACGGAGTATGTGACAACATCCCTCGAAAGGTTACAGTGTTTCAAAAAAGGAACGGACCTCTCGAAGTAATTATTTTCGCGCCATTTCAGGCTGGATCCGTCGCTAACGTCAGCCATGCCGGAAAAAATTTGTTAAAAAATCCCCTCGATACGACAACGTCCATTACCGACTGCAATCAACGTTTTTTAATAGAAGTATGTTTCGTAAAATGCGAGCAAACAAATATCCAACGCATATCAAACGCAAAAAGAATCCCGATAGCGACCGAGGACGAACCCGTCACCGCCATTTCGATAATTCCCAATGCGCCTATTAATAACTTCGCGTACACTGAAACGACAAAAATAAATTCGTCATACACGCAATGCGATTACAAATATAGAACGTGAACATTTTGAGTAACCCTTTTCACGCAACCTTGCAACGCATCAACAAATGCGAAACGGAAACTGCTTTCGCCTAGTAAATTCAAAGTGAAATTGCTTTGTACGTGGCAAACTAAAATTCTGACCAGCATACGTACGTGGTAGAGTAAAATTTTAACCAACGAGTTTAATTATAAACGCTTATTAACAATTTCAGTCGTAAGTCTACTTGTTGCTACACTTGCAAAGAGATTAGAAACTCGCCGGTTTGAACAAACGCTACGCGCGATAACAGAAAACTTTTTCTCGCTTGTCAATTTTTTCTTTCAAACGCTAGCTACTTGTATCCTGTCATGTATGAACTTTTATTTTCATCATCCTTTGTTAGTTTTTTGGAAATAGATGAATATTTCATTACAAGTACATTGATGCTCCTGGATAAATAGATTTGTACCAAAAATTGGTTACAAATTATAGTGTACTAATACATATCCTTGCGTAGATCTAAAAGTTACTTCCTTTTTTTTCTGTTTAATTTCTGTCGATTACAAAAAAATATATTCAAGTATATTTACGAGGTTAATGGACACAAAAACAGTATCGCCATCTAGCGGCGAGCATCGAACTAATTTGTCGAATTATATATATGTAGATATATGTATATGTATACCTGAACATATACGACACACTTATTAACCTCTCCATATGTTGATATCTAATTTTCCTTATTATTATCTTGTAATATAAAATTAAATACTAAGTATATGAAATAATAAAATGCTTAGCGCATGTTCAATTATGTCAAATTTATTATTTTTTTTAAATATGGCCCAGTGGCGCCATCGGAGGCGAAACGACCAAGTTTGTAGAGAAAATAATTCCTACCGTTCTTGCTAGATGGCGCCACAGATATTTTTTTTAGTAAATTATTCTTTACTTTTTATGAATGCATAATTAATACGACTCTTGCTTTATAACACTACAATATATTATTATAATTTATCATTTATCGTGAATAATTATTTAATGCGGGAATAATTATCGACCCTTCAGTTAATGACGCCATCTAGCAGCAAAAGTGGGAACTATTTTTTTCTACGAACTTGAGCGTTTTTCCACCGATGGCGCCACTAACTGGAGGATCGATAATTATTTCTACATTAGATAATTATTCATGAAAAATGATAAATTTGACATATTAAATAATATATTGTAGTGTTATAAAGCAAGGAGAAGTATTAATTACGCATTTATAAAAAGTAAAGAATAATTTACTAGAAAGAATCTGTAGCGCCATCTAACAGAAACAGCGAGAACTATTTTCATTACAAACTTATACTACTAACTGAAATCACACCTGTATATGTATGTGTGCTTTTGTGTGCGATTTCGTAGATCATCGTAGATCGAGTAAATTAAGAAATCGCTTAAAGTCATTATAGACTAATTTGGCATGCATGTATGTAGATAAATACAATGTCTTGAATCGATGTACTGAAAGCCCGTTTCTCGGGTAAAGCGTAATTCCTGTTCTCTTCTATCAAACGCAATCTGATTTGGAGCGATTGCCAGCAGTGCATCTCTACATTTCGCGATGTTGTCAGAAGTCGACGTATTTATTAGCAATTACACTCTTGTCGATCCTGAGATCTATCAGCTATGGGTCGACGGTCATACATGTAAGTTTCGAAATATTGATAATTTCTCGATTATACATTGCTCGTTACGATCTGTATATATTTGGAATTTGTACTAATCTAGCGAGCGATGCTGTCAGCATTTTGCATCAACGAGGAATATGTCATCAAACGAATGCTCCGATCGAATTAATCGCTTCCGATATCCTAGATCATTATCGAACTTATGCTCTTTTGGAGAAGCTACTTCATACCCCTACCAAATTGGCGAGCGAACAGCTCGCGTTTCAGATAGAACCTCAGACTAGTCAGATGCTTATCGAAATGTAAGCAGACTCTTTTGCCATATATGTAAGTGCACTGTTTACATCGATAGCTAAGTAATTATACTTGTAAAACACGTTTGTTGTTGATTACAACGAGCAGGTATTATGAATTCGATGATATGGTCATCAGAGAATTATTGGGTAAGAAACTAACATCAAAAAGTAGGAAAGACATGGATGAAGTAGCAGAAAAAACAGGCATTACTTTAAAGAGTTGTCGTAGACAGTATGACAATGTGAAGAGAGTATTTAAAGCTGTGGAAGATCTACCAGGCTCGTTGGCTGCCAATATAGAGCAACAGTTTTTGCTTTCCGAAGACCTTGCCAAGTAATGAAAAAAATAATTAGTATAAGACCTTTATATCAATACAAATGATTTATCATGCTAATATCTACAATCGCTTAGGCGATACGCGGCTGTGGTATTCATAGCGTGTCTTCGTTTCGAGATGAACAAAAGAAAGCTTCAATTTTTAACGTTTCCCGATTTATACCATTGTGCCAACAGTATGATGTCTTCGTGGACTTACCGTTGCGTCGGATTCGAATATTTCGATACTGATTTGGATAGAGAATTTTTAATGGAACTATCAGAATGTAGAATACTTCTGGAAAATGACAAACACCACAAACAGTATGTGAAATGCATACAGAATTGAAATACCTACATACACGCTTTATTTATTAATACTTAAAAACCTTTTTTATAGTTTAGTATGCATCAAACTGAAACCTATGCTTCTGGAACGTTCGTATCAGGAAGTGGACTGCAACTTCCGTTCGTATTCCAGAGCAATACTAGGAATAGGCTGTAATCTTCATCGTTCCAGAGATCTACGATTCTTCTTCCTAGAATTAGTAGAAAGATGCATAGAACCATGGCGTCAAGTTAACTGGACGCACACCGATCTCAGAAACTTTTTGTCAATTTACACTCAATGCGCGCTAGACATGGATGTCCTTAGGTACAGGACAAGCCATTAGCAAAATAAACTATTTCAAGTTAATCGTATTTAAGTGAAACATTTTTGTTTCCAGGGAAGGGGAATTAAGAGATGCTTTCGAACGCTATATGACCGTCGTAACGTGCTGTTTATTGCGGATGTATCACACATGACTATTGGTGAAAGAAGACGAAGGTGTGCAAAAAATAAATGCGATTAGTAATGATGGAAATTAAATTTTATGAAAAGAAATAAAATTCGACAAATAGTACGTATACCATAATTTATTAAGTTTCAGTAATAAATATTTCATAAACAAATGCAGCATATATGCCGATGATTTACAATTTTACAATTTTATCAACGTATTGGTGCGATTTACCAGATTGTCCTTAGGGAAAATTTTTAAACAGGAAGAATAATTTTTAAATGGTTCTTACGTACATATGTGACAATAGGTCAACACTATTTCAATCGTATTCAAAAATTAATATTTCGTTTCAACAACAACATGAAACTGTTTATAATTTTAAATGAACACATTACGATGTCCAACAAATTTAAGTATTCGACCCACAAGTTATGCTCATATATATACAGGAGAAATATACGTTTGTATGTCTATAAATCACGGTATGTTCGAATTTTCATGAATCGACACGTCAAAACGATTCTCTAATTATTTTATTACCGTTAAACTTTGTACTTACTCTCCGCTACTTTTTCTCTATCTAACAAGGAAATACGGGACGCCATATTGAGAGGGGATAAAGGGGTTTGTTAGAAATTTTGAGGGACAGTCAAAGGAGAAATTTAAATTTTCCTAGAGACTTATATAAATAGTTACTCTACGCCGAGAACTTTGTTGACTGCGAATACTACATCGCTCTTTTGTGGTAAAGCTAATGCTTCTAGAGATTTCGTATAAGGCATAGGGGTATCAACTCCGGTGCAACGAATTATCGGGGCGTCGAGATGAAAGAATGCTTCACCTGAAATCAAAGCAAATTTTTGTTAGGAATCGAATCTAGTTAATAATCATTGTCAACGACTGAATTGGAAGGACGTACTTTCAGTAATTCTAGCACAAATTTCTGATCCAATACCGCAATGCGGCCAACCCTGCTCCACAGTTATAATGTGATGCGTTTTTACTATCGACTGGAGAATGGTGTCCATATCTAATGGTCTCAAAGACCTAAGATTTATTACTTCTGCTTCTATTCCTTTCCCAGCGAGTTCGTCTGCTGCTTCGAGAGCTTGTTCGACGGCCTTGGAATGTGCCACTAGCGTAATGTGTTTGCCGACTCGTTCGACTTTTGCTTTACCGATAGGTAGAACGAAATCTTTCGACAAGGCTTCGTCCGACATTGGGTATTGAATACCATATAAAATTTCATTTTCTAATACAACGACAGGATCTGGATCCCGTATAGCAGCTTTCAACAAGCCTTTCGCGTCTTCGCTATTATAGGGCGACACTACTTTTAAACCAGGACAGTGGCTGTACCATGCACCAAAGCATTGAGAATGTTGAGCGGCTACACCTGCTGCTGCTCCATTTGGTCCACGGAAGACAATTGGTACATTTACTTTTCCGGCAGACATGTAGAACGTTTTGGCTGCAGAATTTATGATCTGATCGATTGCTTGCATAGAAAAATTGAATGTCATAAACTCGCAAATTGGACGTAAGCCAGCCTAAAACATTTGGTCATATGAGAAACAGTAAAGAATAACATTGAAGGTACATAATAGTTTGCTTGTTAGTATTTACCATGGCAGCACCAACAGCAATACCAGTGAATCCTATTTCAGTGATGGGAGTATCTATTACACGTTTGTCTCCATACTTTTTCCAGAGGCCCTTAGAAACTTTATAAGCACCATCGTACATGGCTACTTCTTCCCCAAGCAGAAATACCTTTTCATCCCTTTCCATTTCTTCGTCCAAGGCTGCATTCAGAGCATCTCGTACGGTGACCTATGGGAAATAAACATGTTACAACAAAGGAAACATGTCAATGTTTGACATATTTTACATTTTCTCGCGACAACAAATGAGCGCGATAAAATCTGCAATACCAGGTTTAAATTTTGTAAAATTATCACGAAGTTATTAGAATCGAGGACGAGTGACCTTTGTTGCCCTTCAACGTATAACAACCGATCGAAGATTAATTTATCAAATGAATAAAAGAAATAACGAATTATCGAACAAAAACGATCAAAACAATGGAAAATGGAGAATCATTCTTGACGAAAAGGTTATCGTTGTACAAAGGAAACTGTGCATACGAAACGTATTGTGTCACAGCGAGAAGGTTATGTTCGAAATACGAATATAAGAAAAAGAAAATTGACGTTATTACCTGCTGCGCGGCAGTCCATTTTGACGTTGAGAACGAACGTCTTGCAGTTATCCTCAAGGCAGACTAAAAACAACGACGAACAATCAGAAACGTGGTTCATTTATCTTGTAAAGTATGAATGTCATATGTCTCTTTAAGGTAGAGTTATGCTTTACTCGAGTCGTGATATTTACCGAAAACATCGTAGGCCGTCGATTTTGGAGACAATCCTCGAATCTGTCGTTTCAGTCGATCGAATATTTCTAACGCGTTACTCGCGTGTATTATCAGGGCCTCTGGCTCGAGATTCGATCACCGTTCGCCACTGATCAAAACGCGGAACGATACTAGAGAAAAGCTCAAGGTCGGTAGGCGAACTCTTATGAAACACGTTTGCTTCGAACTATACGTACGAGTACTATACCTCGACTAAAAGAAGAAGAAGATTTCAAAACACTTTGTATAATCTGTTGCATGTTTCAACGATACTACTTCGTTCCATATGATTTCAAGAATTAGAGGAATTACGGATTCCGCGTGCCTACCGTACCGATAGTAAATTAGAAGCGCCACTTTACTTCTAACCAATGATAAGTACCTAGAGACAATAAACTTTATTTACAAACGTGTCAACGTTCAAGATTATTCTGGGATGTATAAAACATGAAGCAGGATTATTTCTTCGTCATATGTAATTCATCATAACTTTTATAGTGGACAGCCACGTACAGATACACTTACGCAATACCTGCCGCGATGGTTGCCACGTTGGATGATTTAAATTTGATTAGGCTCGATATCTTGGCTTTACGATTATTGGATGAACGCGCATAAATACGAAACTTGTAAAGTGAAACTTAAGAAAGGCATGTAACGAAAAAGCTTCCTTTCTGTCAGAATCAACACATTTAAAGTTCCTGAAAAAGAACTTGATCCTCGTTCATAGATCCTTCGATTCTTTCATCTAATTACCTACTTACCACTTGACGGACAGGTAGCGAAGGGTCATATAATAGAATTCAAGAATATTTTTTATTCCGACATTAGTATTATTCAATATTGATTTTATCTATTGAAATCATTTCTTGATTAATATTCGTATTACGTAATTCGTATAGCGATAAGAGCATAAAATGTTATCTCGATAATAGGTAACCAAGTATTGGTTGTCTTATTAAAAAGCTTATTAATAGGCTACAGGTCGGTAAAGTGTTAAGAACCATTTTTTAAATAAATGAAACTATCGAAATTATGATTGGGCGAGTGAAAGAAAGCGCGAAACTTGATGTAGATCTATCGATCTATCGTTCAGCGGATAGACGTTATGAACAGGCGATACGATTATGAGACTTACTTTAAAAATCCTTAGAGCAAAGAGACGAATTACCAACATTAGCACATTGTTTATTTACAAAAAGTATTCGCTCTTGGTACAATGACAATGCAATGTGAAAATGCGTGTTGAATGCGTGCGTGAGGATTGCCGTTATGGGAAATGCATACGTAGCTAACATTCATACGAGAGCACTCTATGCGAAGACACTTGCGTTTGTGATTATGATTTGAATCTCGATATCGAATATACGTACAAACCGCGGTGGTAACAAACAGAAACAATGCTCGATGGAACGTACATGAACGAATGGACGTCGTGACACGCGTCGATCTTGCGTGAAAACATCTCAAAGAAGGAGATTAAATTTGGGTATACGTTCTGGACCGTGTTTCTTCTTTGTCGGACATTTTATTAACGAGAGAACAACAATTGCATAGAATTTTAATCGAATAGAACACTGGCTAGGATAAACGACCCTCTTTTTGATCGTCAACTAAAGTTACGGTAACGCAATGGAGGCCGAGTGATCTAAGGGAACGAAGAGAGGGCCCCAAAGTGTGGGCTGTGTGCCTCTAAGGTATTTGCTTCTGTCTCGTATCTGTATCTGTATCTGAATCTCTATCTGCGTCTGCATCAGAGCGTTCGTGTGTATGCGTGTCAGAGTTGGGCAGCGATTGCTTTGGCGATCGTCACTCGCAATCGTCAGATTAAAAACTACATTTTTAATCTGTTATTGTAAGTGGCTCATTTGTCATTTTTTTCTCTTTTTTTTTTTTTTTTTTGTTTTCAGAGATAATCCTGATTATCGATCGTTCATCGATCATAGTCGCGGTCTACACCTTGCCCAACGCTGTGTTTTTATCGTGTGCGTGCGTGTATCTGCGTGCGGCTATCGGAAAAGTGTCGAACGAGAAGGAGAACAGGTAAAAGTGGATTGAAACGTTAAGGGGACGACGAAAGGTGACCAATTGGAATGGGGTCGAGAGAAGGGGTGGAGGGTGAGGGGGTAGGTAGCGTAAAGTGTAGTTTGTACAGGAGTACTATCGCCGGAGCAAAAAGAGATCCTTCCTTAATCGTTCTAGTCTAATTAATCATAGATTACAAGAGAATTATCAATAGTAAGAATAATAATACTTATAATAACTGTAGTACCGTTAACATCTCCTGCGAGTGCGCTACAACGATTTAACTTTAGTTTTGATAACGTTCAACTACGTTGTACGTTGTTTTTCTTTTTTTCTTTTTCTTTTCTCTTTTCTTTCTTTCTTTCTTTCATCGTCTAGCATGGCCGGGTTCAAAAAATGCCCTTCTCGATTAGCGTTGATCGTCGAAATACGTTTAGTCCGCGACTAAAATTATAAAGTTACTCTTCAAGGCCTCGATTTAATCCCTTGCGGCTTTTGCTTCAAGGACGTTGATCGCTGTGACGAACGATCGGAACGAAGGGAAGCAAAACATTCCAGGGAAAATCAAATTCGACACCGTCGCGGATGGTTCTTCACTAAGGCTCGTCCAAAATTAATCTGCCTACAGAACCATAAAAAGGCGAACAGGACCGTTCTTTTTCGTCTTTTTTTTTTTTTTTTTTTTTTTTTTTTTTTTTTTTTTTTTTTTTTT